GTACACCCTTTTTCATGACACTCGGTAAGCCTTTTAATTTAAAAATATTGCTTACATATTTAAGTTTTCATTACTATCTAATCACCAAATACGTGCAAAACTCATATTTCGCAATTATAAAAAAACGAAATTCATGCTTCAATACTTGTTAAGAGACAAGACCATAAGCAAGAATGAGATATAATATCATAAAAGAATTGATACACCATACATTGTGATAACATGAAAAGTAAAATAAAACGATTAATTAATGAAGTGAAATGAACTAAAATTCAACGATTCAAGAAACGTGATTAAGGTATTAGTTGTAAATTGATATAACAGAATAAAAATGAAAACAGTTTAGGTAAACTGAATAGACAAAAAATAAAATAAAAATAAATTAAAGTATAATAAGACAAAACAAAGTGACGATAAACAAATAAGGTAACATAACAGCAAATAGACAACACAGATAACGTAGGGATAATTATAAACTGACCAATTGCTGGCTCTATCAAAAACTTGTATTTAATTAATCAAGGGATCACCAACTATTTATAATTTTTTGTTTATTATTAATTTAACTTTGATTTAACCATAACAGGAGAAATGGTGATGGATTCTTACCTTAGGTCGGTGTCCGAAATACTAGCTTTTTCACTACGCTTTCCAGCAGTTTTCAGTCTCTAAATTTCTTATATTTTTATGCTAAAATAAAAAATTACATTAAATAACGTGAAAATATGCAAAACAAAGGGCTAAAAAAGACCAAAAATCTCATCGAGGCCGGTTTCGAGTTTTGGTATATTGGTGCCACCGTGCTCCACTACTGGTTCTGCCTTTTACAGTGGCTCTTCCTCTCGGTCAAACCGGTTTCACCCGGTTCTGGATGAAAACCTGCTCAATTCATGGTTAGGCGACGTTTGTTGGTGGAAAAAGGAAAAAAATTAAAGCTTATTAGTGGTTCTATCTCTTTGGTATGGTGGCTCCACCGAGTTTCGCCACTTCTTCCTTGCGGTCGCGAATTTTCTTCGGCTACACCAAAAAACATGTTGAATGGCCTAGGACCATGAAACAGAAGAAACAAAAAAGAATTTCGAGTTCACCGAAGTGTTTTGGTGTTCTAGCACGGTCGGCTTTCTTCCGGTGACTGGTTTGCTTTCCAGTGACACTTCTTCTTCTTCTTCTCTGATCGTCTTGGTGGCTAGGGTTTGGGAAGCCCGAGTAGAGAGGTTTAAATACCTATTCGTCTTCGATTCAGGCCATTCGTGCAGTGATACGTGCAGCAGCAAAGGTCGTCCGATCGCGCATAATGGGAAAACTGATATGGATTGTCTGATTGAAGACATGCAGACCGTTCGATCAAGTCTATTCTAGGAATCGATCTTGGTCATTCACGCGCGCGGGAGTGGCCCTGAGCCATTCGATTGGCTTGACACGTATATTGCCCGCGTGGCCTCCCGCGTGGAACCATGCTGACGTGTCCCCCATGTGGCGCACAACGATTTATCGTGCTACTAATGTGAACGTCCTACGTGGCCACATTTTTTCTTTTTATGATTTGACTCATATTTTTTAACTTTCTTTTCAAATATATTTTTCTCTTATTTACAGTTTGACTTTGATTTTTAAAAATAACACGTCTAAAATGCATATAACTTAAAAATTCTAAAAAAAAAAAAAAATTTAATAATTTCCATAATTATTATTTACAATAAATTTTGTCATCCCGAGTCCAAAATTCTAGGCTCGGGGTGTTACATTTCTTGTAAGTTATAAGTCTCTAACAAAAAGTTTTTATATTATCTAAATTGTTCTCCACCAAAAACATACATTAGTATGTTCTTAATTGGTCAACAAGGTTAATTGTTTTTATAGGATGTGTTTGATTATCCTTAATAGTGAATAGATTTGACCACTACTAGTGGATCCACAAGTTTAGCTGCCAATAGTGGGTGTTCAAGTTGACCGCCTTTGATGGATTGACAAGTATTAATGCCTTTAATAATATATAGGTCTAACAACTCTTGGTAAATAAATAGATTTGAAGTATTCATTATAGGTAGACATGACATAATAGTGCCTCTTATAGGATGTAAGTTTGAGAACTTTTAATAAAATGATTAGTTTGACTGATGATTAAAAAGTTTTATTGTCCCTATCAGGTAGACATGCACACATATGAATAATTATTGAAAAGTACTTGAGTTTATAGTAAATATTTCTTGTGGAGTATTTTCTAAAATCTTTTTTTAGAACAATGAATAAATAAATTTGTGAAAATAATTATTCATAAAGTAGATGAATGCTTTCTTAATTATAATTGTAATGACTAACTTAGTTGAAATAACAATTATATGATACATTTAATAAAAAAGAGATACATGGTGAGACAGGTTATAAGATATAAGACACATATAATGATTGCTAACATGTCATAGTATAAATAAAATTGATACGTCAGAAACAAATCTTTGACAACCAAATGAGTCAATTCTTTAATATTAGTTAACTCTTATCTTAAAGACCTTACCAACAAGTGTTTCCCTATATGTAGTCAATATTGATTATGAAACTTGGCAAAATATGTAAAGTGATTAACCACCCTACATTAGGGACACTCAAGTCATTGATGCCAGGATTATGCTCATACCATAACCATAATATAATGTCTATTTACATCTCTTAACTCCCCATATTATGAAGACATGCTATGTAAAGGTGAGGTCCATATATATTTTTTCTTGTAAAAAAATACATAAATATGATATAATACATCCCTCCAAGTTAATATATATATATACACATATACACAATTGTAAAGGAGAAAAGAACTGAAAAGAGAAGAAAGACATTAACATTGAAACTGTTTCTTTTGATTATATAACTAAACAATATCTTTCCATCAAATAAATTTTCTTCTTTTTTGATAAGAACCATGGATTCTCGGAACCTGTAATTGCCATGACTATTCTCTAGCATCTTCCTATTTAGATATTCTTTCATTATCAACAACTAAAATCTTTGGTCTTGTTGTGAAAGATTTTAATGTGTGTGGCTGAACAGATGCGTTTAATTAGAATAATTTCTCTTAGAAAAAGTTATTGAACTTATTTTATTTTATCTGAATTTGTAGTGCCTAATATGGTGTGGATGCTTGATTTCGACATAACCAAGTAGAGATATATGCTATTTCTATTCAGACAATTAATAATATTCCTGTAAATTCTAATTACTATTTCTGGTCATGATGAAATCTAGAATCAATTACGTAAAATTTATTTTGTGGAATCAATGAATATTTCTTTGCACCCAAACAATATGCATCTCCACTTACGGAGTGTGAACCCTTTTGTAACATCAAGAAACCACTAATCAATATGGGAGTGAAATGAACCATTCCACTTCATTTTATCTTAGCCAGAATGACCAGAAAAGTTTTTGAAATGGACCACTTTGATAATTCACCCTTCCGAATTACCCAGAAAAATCTACAAGATGACATAATTTAATGATGTCTTCACTAATCCTAAGATTCCTCAACTAATTGTCTAAGCAAGTTGTAACTTTTAATTCCTATATTTGAGCTGAGAACTTGTCTTATATTATAACCTAACATTGTAATTTGTATTCAACATGTTTGTGAATCTCAACGTTTATCTCTAATATAACAAGGGTGTGAATACATGCGGTGTATGCATTTACTGGCATTAACAGTATACCGAGAAATATATAGACTACTTAAATTTAGTGGAAAAATGTTTAAATACACCAAATTATGTGTTAAAGAAATGTTTATTGACAATTAATGGGGGCATTGAACTCCGTTAAAGAGCACGCTTCGAGAATGGAGAGGAAGAGAGAAGAAAATAAATGAGGATGATGGAAATTAAGAAGAAAAAAGATGAAAGTAATTAGTATTTTCTGGCCCTTCTTTTGCTTATGTCCTAAAAAAAAAAAATAGAAGACAAAATAATGGAGAAAAACTGTTATATACGTGATATATATATATATATGTTTTTTGATAGACTGTTTTGTATTTACTTGCATGCGCTTCAAAGCTTGTTATACGCGTATAGTTAACATAGAATTTTATTTTAGGTTACCGAAGAGTACAAAAATTATGTAGTTAACAAAAGAGCTATTTTTCTTATCAACATATAAATTCAGACTTCTGTTCCCTGCAATCCAGAAAAAGATCATAAATTTGGAATACAATTTCATATATGTTTCCAAAAAATTGAATTGGGACTAGTCCTGTTTATAAGTTAATCCGAATCAGTTTTGGATTAAAGATTCAATCTTGTTTATAATTAATATAAAACTTTCAGTTTACAACATTCAAAAATACTAATTTTAGTAATGAAATGATAGTTTTACAGTCATGATATATATATATATATATATAGTTTTTTTTTAAATTAAATGAATGATGTACGGTTAATTTGAGCTTAAGACACAAAAAATCAGATCGATTCTAAAAATTTTTTTATCACAAGTTGAAACAGTTTATGATTAATTTGCAAACTGATCGAATGCAAACAAATTCTAAAATCATAGTAATTTGGGAGAGAGATGTTGGTAAAAATGTGGACGAGGGAAATTACAGTATTTATACATGATAACCTATGCTTATTTATATAAGTACCTCAAAACTAAATGTAATTACATAATGAACCCTATGCTTTGTAAAATTACAAAATTGCCACATAATCCTTAAACAAGCTGAGTCCGTGGGCTTAGGATATATGTCTTAAGCTTTAAACTATTAGTTATCATTAAAATTCATCCAACAATGTTAAAATTTTAAAATTTTTAAAAAATATACTCAAGTTCATACGTTTAATTTCTTAAATTTTTATTTATCTATTTTATTATATAAAAATATATATATATATATATATATATGTAATAAAATTGGTCAACCGTTTCACCTTAACTAATATAGTTTTTTTAAAAAAAAAAATTAAAAATTCACATCCCCACACACACCCCAAAAGAAAAAAAAAGATTAATAGATTATTTGTAAAGACCGAAGTCAAAATCCAAATGTGTTGATTCCACTTGCAGCATGAATTGTTTTACTCTTTCTTCTCATTATTTGACTTGTGATTTTGAGCACTTCCCCCACTCATTCACTTCCTACTTATAAAACCTTCTCATTTTCATTGAAAGTCCCGTCCCCCAAACATCACCATGAAAACAGTTATTCTCCTTCTTCTAAGCTCCTTCATTCTCTCTATCGGCTCTTGCGGTGGCCCCCTTTTGCTCCGCCTCTACTTCATCCACGGTGGCCAACGTATCTGGTTCTCAAGCTGGCTCCAAACAGCTGGTTTCCCCATCATCCTCCTCCCTCTCACCATCACTTACATTCACCGCCGCCGTCTCACCAACCGATTACCACCTTCCACCTCACCCCATAAACCCACCTTCTTCACCATCAAACCTCGTCTCTTCCTCACCTGCGTGGTAATCGGCATCCTCTCCGGCCTCGACAGCTACCTCTACGCCTACGGCATGGCTCGTCTCCCTGTTTCAACATCTTCGCTAATCATCGCCACCCAGTTGGCATTCACCGCAGGGTTTGCTTTCGTGTTGGTTAAGCAGAAATTCAACTGGTATTCGGTGACCGCTGTGGTGTTGTTGACGGTTGGGGCGGGTATTTTAGCGGTGCACAGTGGTGGTGACAGGCCAGTGAATGAATCAAATCGGGAGTATGTTATTGGGTTTCTCATGACGCTTGCTGCGGCGGCGGTGTATGGTTTTATATTGCCATTGATAGAGTTTGGTTACAGGAAAGCAAGACAACAAATTACTTTTGGTCTCGTCATGGAAACTCAAGTTGTAATTTTACTGTTCGCCACTGGCTTTTGCACCGTCGGGATGCTACTTAACAACGATTTCAAGGTACTAAATCTTTACACAAGTAATTAGGTGAAATATAACATTACCATTATTATTTAGTCACTTATCTGATATTATATTATATTATATTGGTACTTAAATAAGCAAACAAGGTATTCAGCATTAATTGATTTGACTCTTCAATCTTTTTTGAACAATTCCATAAATCATAATCGAATAGTGTGGAAATGGAATTTTCTGCAGACTACATAATTGTTTTTTTTTTTTTTTCTTTTGAAGAAAGACTATGTAATTATATATGTATAGGTATGTTTAAGTATTATATAATTCTTTTAGTAAGTCTGGTGGCAAACTAAATCAAGGGAATCCAACCACTATGCTTATTTAGGGTTGTACGTAGATAGACCAGTCAGCATCACTGGTGCTGCTCAGCTGTTATATACGCACTATCACTATTTTATATTTAAAACATATATAACATGTTTAACGTGACATAATAATATTCATACTCTTCAAATTTTCATATTAAAAAAGATATACCTACCAAAGATACGAAATAAAGTTGACTACGACTCCAAAATTTGTATCTGTATTCCCTCAAAAAAAAAAAAAAAGACTTAATTAATTAAATTAACCTAATACGCCTTCCCCAATGAAACATTTTTACCTAACATAGATATCCTTTAATCATTTAGTGACAGTGCATGATTAAAGGTGGGTAAAATTATTATACATATATATACATTACTTTTTATAAAACAAAATGTTATTTCATTAACATATCATGAATTGTTTTACAATCTTTTATTGTATATAAATACATATATATATACGAGCTAATTATTTATTAATTTGATAAATATTATTTATTTATTTTTACTTCTCTTCGATATTAGTATTATTATAATACCCTTGCGATTAAGTAAACATTAATTTTTATTTGGATGGAAAGTAGACAAATTTTAAATGGGTATTTATTTATATATTATTATATATATTTTAGTCATATTATGAAAGTTCAATACTTGGATTGATAACATATTCTCATTCAATACATTAAATATATATATGTGTGTGTGTAAATGCTAGTGACTAGACTACATAACAAATGCATTTAATTGTATATGTTATTTTATTTTTGTAGGCAATTCCAAGAGAAGCAAAAGAATACGAGTTGGGAGAAATAAAGTACTACTTAGTGGTAGTATTTAGTGCAGTGGTGTGGCAGTTTAATTTATTGGGGGTCGTAGGAGTGATCTTCACTGCCTCTTCTTTGCTATCCGGGATTATACTTGCAGTTCTATTGCCAATAACAGAGGTTTTGGCTGTCATCTTCTACAAAGAAAAGTTTCAAATACTCAAGGGTGTTTCTCTTGCCATCTCTCTCATGGGATTTGCCTCATACTTCTATGGTGAGATGAAGGAGAGCAAGAAACAGGCTAAAACTCCAATAGCACAATCTCAATCAATAGACATTTTTCAAGTTCCTAATCCGTGAAGGAACATAAATAATTTGAATTACCTCAATTTTTTATTGAGAGAATTAAATTTATGATGTATTAATTAAATGTAGTCTTATTTTTAATGAAAAATAAATTCCAAGTGAAGAAGACCTCGATGCATAAATTTTGTGCATTAAAACAAAAAATTTAAAAAGATATAATTTTGGATCTTTGAGTTTGAAAGTAAATCTTGGTCTCTTGTTGAATCATTCAATTCCTCTTTTCTCAAAAAAAACCTTAAGTAATCATATCATAGGTTGAAGGAGATGAAAATAACTGAGTCATCTGGTGAGCTTAAACTTAGATTGAAGTTTGAATATACAAGTGTAAGTGTTCTTTATAAATTTGTTTTTAATGAGTTATGATTTGTACATTATTAATAATGAAAGATAGTCTTTTAATGGGTTAAGGTACCATCTAGAATCACATTTCATTCTTTATTTCTAATCAAATACCTATTCTCACCCCCCACCAGTAATTTAGATGGTTAAAATTGCTTTGAATCATAATGAATTAATCATTTGGTATTAGAAAATCTTCTGGTAGTGTGGGTTAAAAATTATTATATTCAGATTACAAATGTGTTATCAAACTAATCATTTGTTTTAATTAATGGTTGAGGTTCATTTGGTCATAATCAAATAATTAAATAATTAATCGAGTCAGATAATCATAAGTGAGATTAATTAACTGGGCAAAGAGGGGCCTCACGTATATATCTTTACTGCCGCCACACCTTTGGAATTTGGCATCTTATTATTCGCGGCATGGAAAGTAATGTAATAGTTTTTTTGTCATGCAATTGATTAATTTAGTTCCCAAGTTGAAATTACCATGGAATTGTGCTTTACGCAAGTATTATCTATATAGGCCGTCTTATTTAACTTCAATATTTATAATTTAAAAGACTTATATATAGTTTTTATATAAATGACATAAGAAAATTCATTGAGAATTCTAAGCATAGATACTTAATTGTGACATAGTATTCAACTAATTAATTGTATTTTATTTAAGAAAACTGAAAACAGACAAGAGTCAAAATCTGATTATAAAGCTATTGTGCTTATATATAAACACTTCTAAATTTGACAAAAAAATACATTTTAATTTTTTAAATTTGCACTTTCCAGCACTAGGAACCATCAACAGTGCTAGTTCTCTGTTGCAGCTTTTGAGGTAGTGAGTACTCCTAGCAATTACAATGGTGAGGTAAATGGAATTCCCTTACCCTATTGCTAGATACATTTTCTTGACAATCAAATATAGTAGTAGAGTAATCTCGGAGCAATTATCTAGTGACCAACTTTACAAAATGTAACGACCCGCTTTCTTCGTTGAGAATGAAGTGTTATTACACACACATAACCTGATAAATTTACGCAACTGTGAGCAAAAATTTAAAATTTAATCATTCTCTATATGGAATTACAAGTCATGAGACTTATAAATTTATTTACATTACATTACTACAATATAATTAAACTGATTTTACAATACGAACTCTTACTGTCACTAAAGGTTCTTCAAAGACTTCTTTCGAAATTAAACTTGCTCTTGATGTGGACTAATTTGCATTGGGGGTGTATGAATTGGGTTAAACTTCACAAACTCAATAAGAAAAAGGAGCAGTGGCCATAACAAAGACATGTATACACTCAATCACCAAATCTTCTAAATAAATTTATTTAGTAAATATTCAGAATTCCTTATTTCGGTATTAGGGCATAAAAAGTTCTATAAATAGCATAATTTAGTATTCAGTATCACAATTTAAGCAGTAAGCAGTTCAATAGATATTAATTCAGTATTTTAGTATCGTAAACTTTACTTACGACTTCATATTTATTTATATCAGTTTATATCTTATTAAAAATAATTTCACTACGCGATGTCGTTTCCGACGGCATCAACGAGGGCAGTAAAGATCTCATTTATCACGTGAATACGTTACAAATCATTTCACAGTTCGTAGTTTGCAGTACATAGTATATAGTTCATAGTTCTTATCGCTTCGACACGTCTGGCTAAAGCTATATCCATGGGCAGGGTTCACCACAGTCACACACCAAAAGGCTATACACACACCCACTCCTCGGTGATACCGGTTAAATGAATTTTCTCGTCTTTTAAAGATTTTTATGTTATTCTTTTACTAATCAAGTTCATTGCTAGATGATCTACTCATGCATGTACCTATATATACATCATATGTATTATACATAAACATGCCTACACAATAACCATAATATATATATCTTATATACACGATCATCGACTTAAATCAATATATATATACACACAACACATACAACATAGATATACTTGTATATTTTTACAAGATATATATGTATTCCATAGCATACACATACAAGTTATTCACTTATATCCACTAGCATTATACATAATTATGTCATACAACATACAATTAAATATATATGTATATACGTGCATCATGCACACATACGACTCAGTATAGATCTCTAATCGTATGCAATTGCATCACATGATGAATTTGTAAAAATCACGTTAGAAAACTTAAACAATTTGTAAGGTTTGTAAATATTCCATTTTAACATAAAACAAAGTTTTATAAAAATATGATAGCCTCTAAATGAGACAAACTCAATCCTTTACCTACAGTCAAATTAAAAAGTGTCAGAATCCTTATTGACTAGGGTATACACTCTCCTCTAAATCTGATATTGTTTAGATAATTCTCTTATCTACAAGCAGAAAATATTTTAGTTAATGACGGATACTTGTAGAAATAATTAAAATACAAAAAGGGTATCGAGTTTTACTGTAGCGCGATCCCGGTCACCAAAATCGCCACATGCCACCATATGCGTGTATTTGATTCACCATGCACCACCACCGGAGTGCCACCTGCCGCCTCACACGCAGCCACAATAACCAGCATGCGCCACCAGAACCACCTATGTGCCACCATGCTTATGCTGGAAATCATCACGGAACAAGCCACACATGCAGATCTGGCTTGAATATGGCAAAATCGCACCAAAGAAAGGTATGGATGCATTGAATTGCGCCTGGCCACTGCCACGGTTCACTTTTTTCTCTACACCCCGTCGCACGTTATCTCTCCCCAGCCTTCTAGTTATGAGCCTCTTGTCGTACCACATGCCGTAGTCACCAAACTTGCCTTGCTGCCAGTTTGATCTATTCCCTCCCGCTCTCTCTCTCTCTCTCTCTCTCTCTCTCTCTCTCTCTCTCTCTCTCTCTGCCTTCTCTCTCTTCACAATTCACTCTCTCTCTCTCTCTACTCATTTGACTCGTTTTTCCTTCCTTTGTAACAATTGGGCCCATAAATTTGACCCGAGATGATTTTTTTAATTTATAAAATATATATGAGAATAATTAATTTTTTAATTGAAATTTTGTTAAATTTTTGAGAAAAAATAAATTAGGAATGAAATTGAAAATTATTATGGGAAAAATAGGTGAAAGTGTGAATAAGGGAGGTATTTTTTACGGAAAATTTGAAAATAGGGGGTAAAATCACAAAAATAAAAGTTTGGCAATGTGGGACAGCCCGGTCAGCAGCCACGACAAGTCAAAATGCGCCTCGTGGCGAACACACTGACATTGGCTCCACACAGGAGGCCACGTGGCTAGACAATCTGATTGCCCAGATCGCATCCCGCCTACACAAACGGTGCAGATGCATTTCTTCTTTAAACACGATCGAACGAATGAGATTGATTGCAATGGACGACCCAGATTCGACCATGTAATCGACCTAAACAAACAACGATCGAACGGCTCTCCTAACTCCATGTCGATGCAAATATGCGGCCAAGATCAGAGATAAGTGAGGTATTTAAACTTCCCTTCAATCGGCCCTTAAACCCTAGTCAACACCTAGTTGGAGAAGAGGAAGAAGGAGGTCGCCGGAGGGAAGACCAGTTGTCGGAGGGACATTGTCGCCACCGCACCGGAGACACTGTCGACCGCTTAGAGAAGTAAATTTTTTTTCCGCTCGTAATTCAATCCCAAGTCTCCTTATGCCTATATCGGAGCCAAAGGGTTGACGCGTGAGGTGGAAATAGCAGGCAAAGCTCAGCCAAACCGCCACGGCCAAAACCCAAAGCCCTCTCTGATGATGCCTTTATGTTTCCTATTTCACGTTATTTTTTTACCACCATGTTCTCTATCCTTTTCTGGTGCATGTTGGCCGAAAAAGAACTTTAGCCACAAAGGAGGACCAGCAGAGTCGCCGCACCTGGAGATCTTCCGCTGGTAGGGTTTCAGTTTTTTATCTTTTTTGGTCAACCGAAGCCTCCTAACTGGTTTTTTCGCAGGTTTATGTGTAAAACCGGCCAAAACTAACCAAAACTGGTTGAAACCAGCTAGCCCAAGGTGAATTACTACTGCGGACGGTGAAATCAACGTCGGAGCATGGCGGTGCCACTGTGTCGAAACCCTAAAATTGGCCGAAGTGGTTCTAAAGCACCTATCTTAGCAAGAACGATTATCTTTATGTACAAACAAGGACCAGAATTTTGGTAAGAAAAAGTAGAGTTCCAGAGGCGCAACCGAAAATAAGTAGTTAGAATGGCAATCCAAGGTAAGACTATCTCACCTTGGGTCTTGGTACAGTAAATTTAAAGCTTAATAATTGATAATACTGTATTTAGTGAAAATTAGAAAATTCCAAAAATAATTATAGGTCACTAATTGAGGCAGAACCGGTCAGTACATATTTATCCTAATTTACTATTTATTTTCTCATGTACTACTTAAAATATTTACTACTATATTGTGTGCATCAAATTGTTAATTTTAATTATTTTCTCAGTTATTTAGTTTACATAGCTACATAGCCCTTATTTGTTGATTTGTTTTGCAATAATTGTCTCAATCATGTTTCTTGATGTACGTATCGCCTATTTGTATGACTTACCATTGATTTGTAAATATGAGATATTAGTATATAACTAGTAATTAGTTAATGGTGTGAATCTATATATGAAAAACTTACTAGGTACCTTAAAAAAGAGTTGACGTACCCGGTACATACAAAACTCTACTGTGAACATTACCTAAGTCGGACGGGGCTGAAAAGTCTCATATCGGAGGGGTTTA